CTTGAAAGGAGTGGCTTGGCCCAGCGGCCTTCAAAGTCTTTCCTTTGCCATCATGAGCATGTTCAACCAGAGCTTGAAAGGAGTGGCTTGGCCCAGCGGTCTTCAAAGACTTTCCTTTGGCAGGGGGTTCAACCAGAGCTTGAAAGGAGTGGCTTGGCCCAGCGGCCTTCAAAGTCTTTCCTTTGAAAATAGCGAACAGTTCAACCAGAGTCTTGAAGGAGTGGCTTGGCCCAGCGGTCTTCAAAGTCTTTCCTTTGGCAGCGAGTTCAACCAGAGCTTGAAAGGAGTGACTTGGCCCAGCGGCCTTCAAACTCTTTCCTTTGGCCGGGAGTTCAACCAGAGTTTGGAAGGAGTGGCTTGGCCCAGCGGTCTTCAAAGTCTTTCCTTTGGATGTAGTGATTTCAACCAGAGCTTGGAGCGAGTGGCTTGGCCCAGTGGTCTTCAAAGTCTTTCCTTTGGCAAGGGGTTCAACCAGAGCTTGGAAGGAGTGACTTGGCCCAGCGGCCTTCAGAGCATTTCGTTCTTTTCTGGGTTCGCGGCCCTGAAGAGAGTGAATTGGCCAAGCAGCCTTCAACTTCAGTGCTTGAAGGTTAAACGCCTGAGATCGGAGGTCAAGGACATGGATCTTCCCAGGGGTTTGGAAAGGTTTGAGTGCACACTCGAAACAGAGACTCGTGATGGTCTCTGTTCCTTGCAAGAATGGATGATCCAAATGGAATAGAAGAACCCACGGCTATACCAGGGCCCAGGGCCCAGGCGGAAAAAGAGCAGCTCAACGGCGCGAGGTTCGGTTCGGATCACCAACCGGTCCGGCCTGGAGCCCAGAGCAGAGGTGACGACTGGTTCGGATCACCGTCGGTATGCAGTAAATCATTTGGCATCTTGAAGCGTCTGGTCGGATGGGGAACCCTCCCACTGCCTCCAAGAGAGGTGGAAGAGCCCTATATATAGCCTAGAGCCCATCCCATATGTACCACTACAGGGTCCTATATGGTCTCTCAACTTGTCTTGGCTTGTTTGGAAAGTCTGGTCTTTTATTTTTTGGCGGGGGGGGAAGATCGCAGGACGAGCGGATCGCCTGCAAGTCACTGCAACCCACCAAAACCCAATCGGTGGAAAGTACAGGTTGTATAACCTGTCCACGGAAACTGAGGAGTCAGCTCATCCAAAATGGTGTCCACATGTGCCCAACGACCTGAGGATGTCTCCCAAAACCGAGGTGAGCAGGAGCAAAGTTCCTTGAATTCCTTCGCCAAGCGCCACGACCTGGAGCAGCGCTTCCTCTTCGCCACTGAGTGTGGCGATCCCGAGCTGCTGCAGCAGATCCATCGAGAAGCCGAGACTTGGAGAAGTCGAAACTGGTCGGACTTGTTCGGACAGATCCACCGAGGTTGGGTCTTGGTTTAGAGAGGCTGTGGAGGGTCTTGGTTTAGAGTCAAACGTGGTTCATGAGGATTTGGATCGAGTCAATCATGTGACTGTGAAGGCCGGAGACATGCGAATTTGGAATGATTCCTTTTGTGTTTGTTTAAAATTTGAAGAGTAAGTGCAACGAATTTGGGTGAACCAGCAGTCCCAACGGGGTGCTTATTTATGGAGGTTAGGGGTTCCCGTGATCCACTCACTTTGGGGACTAAGCACCACCCCTTTGTGACTCCTGGAAATGAAACGTTGTTTGCACACCAGCAACTTCCAAGGGGTCTTCAAAGGACTACCCTAAATTCCTACACTACCGGTGGATCTCCATGGCAGAAGAGATTGGCCTGTCTCGCCAAAAAATTGGGGGCAAATCAAGACAAACCCGCAAGTTTATGCATGTCGATTAATTTATGTGATTTTATGTGTAATTTTCTTGATGGTTCCATGACCTTCAGAAGGTGGCTGGTCGGAATGTTGCTTCTACATGGAAACCAACCACTCTTTTCGGCTGTCCCTTCCGCCGCCCCGTCGGGAGTGGTCGGGAGAGTCCGCTGATCCGATGCTTCAGGAGATGATGGGCGTGGATCTCTCGCAGTTCCGCGGGCCCAGTGGGCCCGAGTTCCGGCCCAGTGGGCCAAGCGCCTCGGGACGAATGAACGAGAAACCGACCAGTTGGGCGGGGTCTTGACGAGCCGAGCCGGCGATGGAGCTGAACTGGAGCTTCCTGGAGTAAACATGGACCGGGTTTTGTGGATCGGGTAGTTTTTTTGATTCCCTACCCAGACCGCGACCCTGGGCCCGAATCCATGAGGGGTCGGACCCGAATCCTCTGGAAGGGTGGGGTCGAACCAATCCCTACGTTTTGAGGGACCCAGGGCTGTGAACGGAGCGTCTGGGTATGGTTCAATCCCCTTCTGCGAATATTGGTTCTTTTTCCAGGCTCCTGCAGAGCAAATCCAAGAGATCCACCTGTAGGGTAGTCTGATGCAGTCCGATCCCGAAAGGAAGTCGGCTTAGTTGGCTCAGTTGGACGATGCAAATGATCCAGAAGGGAGTGTCACCTGACTTGTCTCATTCTCATCCTATTATATATAGCCGGTATAGATAATTTTGTTTAATGTTCCAACTTGAACCAACAACTCACTGCCAGCCCCAAGACGTCTCTTTTCTCTCAAGATGACGACCGGATCTTCCTGGCTCCGGTCCACCCGGTCCGCCCAGGCCGCCCACCCCCTCCCGACACACCGCCGCGGGCGGATGCCCCGGAGCATCCGCACGCGGCGGGGGCGGAAGCGGAGGAGGAACACGAGGAGGATGGCAGGTCGACGCGTGAGCTGCTGGCCACTGGGCGCGTAGAGTGAACGTGGGGTTCGCTCAACTGGGGGCGACCGTGGTGATGATTTTGGTAGGGCGGAACGACCAAAACCGAAGCAAGAAGTAGAGAGGTGGGTTCGATGAGTCAGGCAGTTTGCCCTCATAGACTCATAGACTCCACCATGACCCGTCCGACGTCCTCCGTGGCTAAGACCGATCAGGAAGAGTGCCGTCGACGCGGCTTGGACACCTCGGGATGCCAAGACCGTGAGGCGCGACCGGGGGGGGCGAGGCGCGGAGGCGACCGGTGCCATGAGGGAATGGAACCTGGAAGAGGAAGGCCGAGAAGGAGTAGAAGGGCTGGGAGTGGCTGGGTGGTGGTCAGTTGTTTGTGATATATTTCGATATATGTCAGTATGTCAGTGTATATCAGTGCCATGGTATTGTTTGGAGAATCATGTGACATCTTTTGGGGTGGTGAGATGTTTAAAGGGTCAATGTAGGTAAACATTCCAGTCCCATCCCAGACCAAACAAATGGGACTGGAACATCCAGTTGAGACGGTCATGGGTCATGGGGGAGCCATGTCATGGAATTCCAACAAAACCATGGGAAGATAATATCATCCAGTCCAAACCATCCATGGAGCCTATATTTAGGGTTTGTCCTATTATTTGTAACAGTCAGTAAACAATTATCACTACACTGTTGAACAAGGCCTCTACTAACCATCATCATGCACTGTTACAGGTAATAGGATCGACCCCACCTATATGATCATCTATTCCAACAGATGGTTTGCTATGGATGTCCTGGTCCCATGGATGGTGAGGATCTGAGGATCTTCCGTCAGAGGCGCAGGATCTTCCCACTCGTGTGCCGCCACACCCACTTGGTCGGGTTTGTCGAGACAAGGAACCTCCTGCGACGGACGGTGCACGGGTTTCACACCGTGATCTTGACACATACACTGTGATCAGAGGTAGTTTCGTTTGTCTGCTTAATGGACTCAAGCTATAGAGACACTAGAGTATAGACACTATATTGTTAAACCCCGAACTTGGGAGCGACCTATACATCCTGGAGCAACATCCACTACCAACTCCAACACCATGGTCGAAGCGACCGCCCAAACGGTCGAAGCAATCAGACTTGACCTGAAAAATCGACAAAGGCGCTGGCCCAAAGACAAAGTGTTTATAGAGAAGGTCTAGAAATACCAAGAATCCAGACATGATCAATGACCCAGGCCTTTTTTTGACAGGAAGTTTGAAGTCAGTTCGCCCAAGTATTTGGTTTTTTTTTCACGGTGGTCCGAAATAGAGGTCACGACCAGGCTCCAGGTAGGGAATCTCAGTCTTTGCCTTTGCAAGGATCTCCTGCGCCTGCTGCGCCGACCCCCAGCCGACGCCGCTCCCCCGCCGCGTGCGGCGGGTGCCGCGCCCTCGGCGGCGTTTCGGCCGGCAGCGCCGGTGGCAGCGCGGCCGGCGCCGCCCAGCGGTGGTGGCACCGTGTGGGATAGGCGATTTGGATGTGTTTTGATGAGTTTGGGATCCTTTTGGAGGCTGGGGAGTGAATCCTGAAGTTGACAAACATAGAATCAGGCTCAGTACAGTATATATGATGCCTTCCAGTATTTGAAGAAGCCTCATGAAGCCTGTGAGTACTGAAGAGTTATTGAAGTGGTTGTGTGAAGGCGAGTGCGAGGGAAAGGTTCCCTTGCCCTGGTTTGCATCAAACTTAAAGCCTCTACATGTTCTGCCACCCCTTGATGGGCTCATACAAGGCTTCGTGGATATCCTTCCACAAAACCAACATGGACCCATAGATGACCTATTTCTATTGCTTGGTTGATGAATTTCTGGGGAAAAACACGCCCAGTGAACCACCAGTTTCTATATAGCTACCTGGCGCTCCCCGGCCCCATCCACCCGACCGACCATGGCGTCCACACGACCTGTTTGGTCCACATGACCGGCACTAGCACGACACGCCAGGCTTAGAATAGCATTGGAGATGCGAGTCATCCCTGAAATTCCCCACTCTATATAGACCCCCAAAATATACTGTAAGACCCCCAAATATGCTAGAGTCTATTTTTCATATATAAACCCTCAAATAGATAGAACATTACTGTAAGTAGATCCCTGCCCTACTAAACATGTGTCCAAAACACTGTGCCACTATCCATCCTATTTTGAGACCCCTTGCAATCATGATCACCTTTTTGGGTTAACAATTTCCGGTCCGTGTTGGAGTCCTGTCCTAAACGATTCGCTGATCGAGTTCCTGTTGGCGAAAGCCCAACAACGAGAGGCAAGTGGTGCCGCCGCGCTATATGATCCACAAGAGGTATGCCTCCTTGCAGCTTGGTGTTTGAGGTTGTTGACCAGGGTGAGGAGGTTCCAAAGGGCTCATTTTGGTGGAAGATGTGGAAGGGGTTGACACATGTTGAAAGAACCCAGCTGTTTGACTGAGGGTTTTAGAGTACCAAACCAGTTCAACCTGTCTCTCTGGTCTTGGAGAGACGTCCTTCAGGGTGGGAAGGAAGTGGGCCGGGTGAGGCAAGGGTTGAACATAGGAAGGCCCGCGCGGGACATCTTGCCAACTGTAGCATTTGAAGGGGCCGGAATCATTGAAAGGACACGGGCTTCGTGTTGTGGTACTCAGTTGTTACGCCAAGAAGAACAGTAAACCAGTAAACCAACCGCACCCGTGAAACCACCCATACTTCCCAGACCAATACTCCGGTGCTCACGTGAAGAGCTGAGCCGTGCCAACCCAGACAGCCCATGGGATTGGACGGTGAATCACCCCATTGGGGCTGTGGTGAATGGACACCCCGAATCAACTCTGTTTGGAGCTACACGGCCCCCCACAGGGGGCCCTGGTATATCTGCATACATGGATGATTTGGGGCAAGGTCTTTTAGGGGATCAGAGGACTACTAGAGGTCTCTCTAGTGACGAGCTCCTCACCCCGTCCTCGCCCCAAGTCCGGTGGTCGAACCATGTCGAACCATCGTCTCACCGTATCTATGACCCAAACCTCCATCTATCGATGCTTACCGAGGACTACAAAAATCCCAGTTCCCAGTAAACTCCGAGACCTTCGAACTCTACACAGTGACAATGCAGCTGCTGGGCCAAGACAAGCTAAACCCTCACCCTAAACCCACTCACCACCCTCACTTTCACCCTCACCCGGTTCTCCTCCGCTTGGCTCGCACCAACCAGGTACTTGCTGGGCCTGGACTGCAGCCGCTTACCCTCCGGCGCCGAGCTCCGCTCCGCCTATCGCCGCGCGGCCATGGAGTCGCACCCCGACCGACCCTCGGCCGCGGCGGCGTAAGGGCGGCGGACTGGGCGGCGCGGAGCGGCGGCAGTTTGGGGAGGATCAAATCAGATCCTTGGAATGGCTATCCCTAGGGTATCAGTTCTTGGAGCTACTTGGAGCTATCTTCATATTGACCTTCTTGGAGCTACGACTAGGTGAACGGCCATTTGTTTTCTTGCCCAGACTTTGAGTGGAGATCAGTGTATTTCTACGCTGATCAACCTGACTTGGGGCGCTTGTTTACGAAAGCCAGCCTTCGTAGAAGGCGCTAGCGGAGTTGTGTTTGGCGAACGAAGTGAGTAGTTAGGGGGTCTGGGGGGGTGGCCCGAGAAAGGTACACGTCAACTCGGCACATGCTGGGGGAGGAGGGTGCTCCGAGGGAAGGTTTTTTTGAGGTTGTGTTGGAGGTGATTTTTGAGGGGTGGTGATGCAAGAAATGCCAAATGCATCATTTGCATCATCTGAATGGAAAGGTGTAGTTGGCACCTTGCAAGGTATAGAGACCTAGGGTAGCCATAGTGCAGCTACCAGGTATAGTACTTCAAGTTCCCTTTCCGTCAACCGCTTGAGAACCTCTACACACGCACAGCAATCCACAGCTTTGAAGTCTCATTCGTGCTTTGAACTTGTATAGGTGTGTAAGAGGTATGCAACAACACAGTATTTATACGGACCCAGGGTAGCTACAAGTAGCTACAGTTCTGTTCCCGGGTATGGCGCGCATGAGGCTTCAAAGCTGTGGTTTTCAAGCTAAATTCAAGGTGGCCTGAGACCAGGGTTTGCTGCCCTAAAACACTGTTCAGGCCACCTTGAAAATAAAGGTGTAGTTGGCACCTTGCCAG